ATTACGGACTATTTGACGGGTCGACCACAGTATGTCAGACTGCAGGACGGTGTGTCTGACACTGTGGTCAGCAGCACTGGGGCTCCACAGGGAACTGTTCTTTCCCCCTTTCTGTTCACCCTGTACACCTCGGACTTTCAGTTCCTCTCTGAGTCCTGCCACCTGCAGAAGTTTGTGGACGATTCTGCAATTGTTGGCTGTGTCAGTGAGGGGAAGGAGGAGGAGTACAGGGGCATTGTGGACTCATCGAGTGGTGTGCAACTAACCATCAGCATCTCAACTCCACCAAGGAGCTGGTGGTGGATTTCCGCAGGAGGAAATCTGCCCCCGCACCCATCTCCATCAACAGTGTGACTGTGGATGTTGTCCAGGATTACAAATACCTTGGAGTACACCTGGATAACAAACTGAACTGGGCCAAGAACACTGAGGCTGTTTACAAGAAGGGCCAGAGTCGACTCTATTTCCTGAGGAGGCTCCGGTCATTCAACGTATGTAACATCATGCTGAGGATGTTCTACCAGTCGGTGGTAGCCAGTGCCATCTTCTTTGCTGTTGTGTGCTGGGGCAGCAGGCTGAGGGCAGCAGGCTGAGGGCAGCAGACGCTAACAAGATCAGCAGGATCACCAGGAAGGCTGGCACCGTCCTGGGGGGTCCAACTGGACTCTTTGGTGGTGGTGTCTGAGAGGAGGATGCTGTGTAAACTGCACAGTATCCTGGACAACAACGCTCACCCTCTCCACCAGCTGCTAACCTCGAGCAGAAGCACCTTCAGCAGCTGAATAACTCATCTACCTCTGGTCGCGAGAGGGACAGTGGAGACTCTGTGCCCTGAACAAATGTCACTTTATCATTTTGTAACCAATTTCACTTTATTTAGTTGTACTGTACCTTAGTTAATTTATGCTGATAACAAATGCTGCTACAATTTTTATCACTTTTACCACTGTTACCACTTTATCCAATCGCTCCTTATCACTTGCTTTGTTTGAACTTATTTTATTTCAATTTATGCTGCTAAACTGCACGGTGCATATTGTTGTATATTGTATATACTGTACCTACGTTTAACTGCAATTTTGTTGCATTTTGTCACATTTAGTTACTTGTTTCTTCTTTTCTACTTATGTTACCTGTAAGTGCTTGCATTTTGTTGCATTTAGTTAATTGTTTGACTTATTTTCTGTTAGCCTTTATTTTTATTTTATTTTATTTTATTTTATTTTAATTTAGCTTATATTTACTCTAACCCTGTAGTACTTCCCTTTACCACCTTTGTATTGAAACTGTTGCACAGTAATTTCCCTAAATAAAGCTTCTTGAATGTTAAATCTTGAATCTTGAATGTCATTATTCTGTTCTTTGTATCATAAATACCATACAGTTGTACATAATAATGCCACAGGTTGTTAAAGCTGAGACATTATTGGACACTTCAGATGCAACCACAACAACTTGATGCTCCAAACCAACAGAAATATTTGGACTCTTCACAATGAACACAGTCAGTTCTAATGAGTTAACCTTATTTAAAGAAAGCAAAGTGTCTGCCTCAGAACAACAACAGTAACTGACTGGAACAGGTATTTAATGTTACTAACAAAGTCTTATTTAGTGGGGTACACAATTAATATTAATAATATTAAAATAATGTTAGAATAATATTAAAATAATGCTAAAACAATATTAAAATAATGTTAGAATACTATTAAAAGAATGCTAAACCTATTAAAATAATGCTTAAATAATATTAAATAATATTAAAGAATGCTAAAATAAACAGCAGTCAGTGCTCTACCTGTAAACAAACACTGTTAATAATAATAATAATAATAATAATACTTCCATACGTTCCTGCTGACAGTTCTTCCTCTTTCAGTCTTTTTACCTTCAATAAAGTTCAAACAGACCCACTGTTAAAATAAAATAGAATACCTCAGGGGGCCCAAACAATAAATATCCTGCATTGAATATAAAACAGTTGCTATTAAAAAGCACAGTTTGTCTTCCCAGAGCCACAAGTGTATAAAACAGAGTCAGTGTGCAGTCTGCACCCTGCTGCCCATCAGCCTACTGATCACTGTGGCTCTCACCTGATTGGACACTTCCCCTACAGGTGTTCTAGTGCTCCTGTGCTGCTTTACTACACACCGCTCAAAGCAGTCAGTGATTTAAAGTGCAATAAGACAGAGTGCAGTGGACTGTGGAGTCCGGCTGTAAGCTGAAGACAATGTGGACCAACAGAAACAGCAGTTAGTTATTGTAGTATGTCCGTCTACACAACCTCAGTACAGTTAGTGAGGACGCCTGTAATGCTGCTCTCATTCATTGGACACAGTGAGGCTGATTAACAGCAGATAGTGACACAATCAAACACTGAACATCTGAACCCTGATTGATCACGACATATTGGTTATTATTGACTGATTATTAACATTTCTTTCCCTCCATCTTCAGCACAGTGTGTGGAAGACTTCAGCCTGGACCAGGAGACCCCCCATCCACACTTCATCTCAAGGTGGGACTCAACTACTTTGGGAGGGGCTGCTGTTTCCTCCACTGCTGGTTTCTCTGTGTGGCCGTAGAGATCCACCCGTCTGCCGGGCAGCGGATGAGACCTGGACGACTGCAGCTTGTGTTGGTTTATAGCGGCCAGGTTTCACAGCATTTAGCATTTATCCAGTTATGGTTCAAAGCTCCGAGTGTTTCGCTTCTTCCATTTTCATTGCGGATGCTTTTGGACCACGTGAGATCCAGCGGTACTCGAGTATCCCAGCATGCATTTAGAATCAACCAGCAGCAGCGATAGAGGACATGAGCCAAACACACGTAAGTTCCCATTTTTGTATGACAACTAGAGTTTCTATTAGTCCAGAAATGAAGTGAAAATAAGTTGTAAATGTTGCTCAGTGTTTTTGGAGATGGAAATACCTGTTAGCAATCCCACGAGCTCCAGCTGTCAGACCAGGTGAGCTGCTCAGGGTTCATGGTCATCCAGGTAGAACGGATTCACTCAGCAATTCAATTCAATTCAATTCAATTCAATTCAATCTTATTTGTATAGCGCCAATTCATAACAGAAGTTATCTCAGGACACTTTTCAAATAGAGCAGGTCTAGACCGAACTCTTTAAAACATTATTTACAGAGACCCAACAGTACCACCACGAGCAAGCACTTGGCGACAAGGGCAAGGAAAAACTGCCTGTTAAAAGGCAGAAACCTAGGACAGATCCTTCGGCTGTAGGTGGGTGGTCGTCTGTCTCGACCAGTTGGGGTGAGAGAGAGAGAGAGAGAGAGAGAGAGAGAGAGAGAGGCAGACAGGTCCACAGCAACAACAGTATTGGCAATGGCAATCTAGCAGGACCATGGCAGGAGGCTCCACCAGGATCAATAAGAACCTGCGAGACGAGAAAGCACAAGAACTCCGGGGAAGAAGTGAAGTTAGTAACATGCATTAATGGAACATGAATGAGTGCAGAAAGAGAGAGGCAGAGAGGAGCTCAGTGCACCATGGGAAATCCCCCGATAGTCTAGGCCTATAGCAGCATAACTAAGGGATGGTTCAGGACTCACCTGATCCAGCCCTAACTATAAGCTTTATCAAAGAGGAATGTCTTAAGCCTACTCTTGAATGTGGTGAGGGTGTCTGCCTCCCGAACCACAACTGGAAGCTGGTTCCACAGGAGAGGAGCTTGGTAACTGAAGGCTCTGGCTCCTGTTCTACTTTTAGAGACTATAGGAACCACAAGTAGCCCAGCATTCAGAGAACGTAGTGTTCTAGTGGGGCAATGGGGTACTATGAGCTCTTTAAGATATGAAGGGGCCTGACCTTGAAAAGCTTTATAGGTGAGGAGGAGGATTTTAAATTCTATTCTACATTTTACAGGGAGCCAGTGCAGAGAAGCTAGTACAGGAGAGATTCAATTTCAATTCAATTCAATTCAATTTTATTTGTATAGCGCCAATTCATAACAGAAGTTATCTCAGGACACTTTTCAAATAGAGCAGGTCTAGACCGAACTCTTTAAAACATTATTTACAGAGACCCAACAGTACCACCACGAGCAAGCACTTGGCGACAAGGGCAAGGAAAAACTGCCTGTTAAAAGGCAGAAACCTAGGACAGATCCTCCGGCTCTAGGTGGGTGGTCGTCTGTCTCGACCAGTTGGGGTGAGAGAGAGAGAGAGAGAGAGAGAGAGAGAGAGAGAGAGAGAGAGAGAGGCAGAGAGAGAGAGCGAGAGACAGACAGACAGACAGGTGCACAGCAACAACAGTATTGGCAATGGCAGTCAAGCAGGACCATGGCAGGAGGCTCCACCAGGATCAATAAGAACCTGCGAGACGAGAAAGCACAAGAACTCCGGGGAAGAAGTGGAGTTAGTAACATGCATTAAAGGGACATGAATGAGTGCAGAAAGAGAGAGGAAGAGAGTAGCTCAGTGCACCATGGGAAATCCCCCGATAGTCTAGGCCTATAGCAGCATAACTAAGGGATGGTTCAGGACTCACCTGATCCAGCCCTAACTATAAGCTTTATCAAAGAGGAATGTCTTAAGCCTACTCTTGAATGTGGAGAGGGTGTCTGCCTCCCGAACCACAACTGGAAGCTGGTTCCACAGGAGAGGAGCTTGGTAACTGAAGGCTCTGGCTCCTGTTCTACTTGAACAGATGTGATCTCTTTTTCCAGTTCCTGTCAGTACTCGTGCTGCAGCGTTCTGAATTAATTGGAGCGTTTTAATGGACTTATTGGGGCAACCTGATAATAAAGAGTTGCAGTAATCCAGCCTTGAAGTAACAAATGCATGGATTAGTTTTTCTGCATCTGTCTGTGATAGTATGTGTCTAATTTTTGTAATATTACGTAAATGAAAGAAGGCAGTCCTAGAGGTCTGCTTAATGTGGGAGTTAAAAGACAAATCCTGATCAAAGATAACTCCAAGATTCCCGACAGTGGTGCTAGAGGCCAAGTTAATGCCATCTAGAGTAACTATATCTTTAGACAGTAAGTCTCTAAGATTTCTGGGGCCAAGTACAACAATTTCGTTTTTTTTCTGAGTTTAACATCAGAAAATTGCAGGTCATCCAGGATTTTATGTCCTTAAGACATGTTTGTAATTTAGATAATTGATTAATTTCATCGGGCTTGATTGATAGATATAACTGCGTATCATCTGCATAACAGTGAAAGTTAATGGAGTGATTCCTAATAATGTTGCCTAAAGGGAGCATATATAAAGTAAATAGTATTGGTCCAAGTACAGAACCTTGTGGAACTCCATGACTAACTGTAGTATTTATTGAAGATTCATCGTTCAATTCAATTCAATTCAATTTTATTTGTATAGCGCCAATTCATAACAGAAGTTATCTCAGGACACTTTTCAAATAGAGCAGGTCTAGACCGAACTCTTTAACATTAATTACAGAGACCCAACAGTACCACCATGAGCAAGCACTTGGCGACAAGGGCAAGGAAAAACTGCCTGTTAAAAGGCAGAAACCTAGGACAGATCCTCTGGCTCTAGGTGGGTGGTCGTCTGTCTCGACCAGTTGGGGTGAGAGAGAGAGAGAGAGAGAGAGAGAGAGAGAGAGAGAGAGAGAGCGACAGACAGACAGACAGGTGCACAGCAACAACAGTATTGGCAATGGCAGTCAAGCAGGACCATGGCAGGAGGCTCCACCAGGATCCATGAGAACCTGCGAGACGAGAAAGCACAAGAACTCCGGGGAAGAAGTGGAGTTAGTAACATGCATTAAAGGGACATGAATGAGTGCAGAAAGAGAGAGGAAGGGAGGAGCTCAGTGCACCATGGGAAATCCCCCGATAGTCTAGGCCTATAGCAGCATAACTAAGGGATGGTTCAGGACTCACCTGATCCAGCCCTAACTATAAGCTTTATCAAAGAGGAATGTCTTAAGCCTACTCTTGAATGTGGTGAGGGTGTCTGCCTCCCGAACCACAACTGGAAGCTGGTTCCACAGGAGAGGAGCTTGGTAACTGAAGGCTCTGGCTCCTGTTCTACTTTTAGAGACTATAGGAACCACAAGTAGCCCAGCATTCAGAGAACGTAGTGTTCTAGTGGGGTAATAGGGTACTATGAGCTCTTTAAGATATGAAGGGGCCTGACCATGAAGAGCTTTATAGGTGAGGAGGAGTATTTTAAATTCAATTCTACATTTTATAGGGAGCCAATGCAGAGTAGCTAGTACAGGAGAGATGTGATCTCTTTTTCTAGTTCCTGTCAGTACTCGTGCTGCAGCGTTCTGAATTAATTGGAGCGTTTTAATGGACTTATTGGGGCAACCTGATAATAAAGAGTTGCAGTAATCCAGCCTTGAAGTAACAAATGCATGGATTAGTTTTTCTGCATCTGTCTGTGATAGGATGTGTCTAATTTTTCTAATATTACGTAAATGAAAGAAGGCAGTCCTAGAGGTCTGCTTTATGTGGGAGTTAAATGACAAATCCTGATCAAAGATAACTCCAAGATTCCTGACAGTGGTGCTAGAGGCCAAGTTAATGCCATCTAGAGTGACTATATCTTTAGACAATGAGTCTCTAAGGTTTTTGGGGCCAAGAACAAGAATTTCGTTTTTTTCTGAGTTTAACATCAGAAAATTGCAGGTCATCCAGGATTTTATGTCCTTAAGACATGTTTGTAATTTAGATAATTGATTAATTTCATTGGGTTTGATTGATAGATATAACTGCGTATCATCTGCATAACAGTGAAAGTTAATGGAGTGATTCCTAATAATGTTGCCTAAAGGGAGCATATATAAAGTAAATAGTATTGGTCCAAGTACAGAACCTTGTGGAACTCCATGACTAACTTTAGTATTTATGGAGGATTCATCGTTAACATGTACAAACTGAGAACGATCTGATAAGTATGACTTAAACCAGGTTAGGGCAGTTCCTTTAATGCCAATTTGATGCTCAAGTCTCTGTAAAAGAATATCATGGTCAATGGTGTCAAATGCAGCACTAAGATCTAATAATACAAGTACAGAGACAAGTCCATTGTCAGAAGCAGTCAGAAGGTCATTATTAACTTTAACCAGAGCTGTCTCTGTGCTATGATGAACTCTAAATCCTGACTGAAAATCCTCAAATAAACTATTGTTATGTAGAAAGTCACACAACTCTTTGGCGACTACTTTCTCCAGAATCTTAGAGAGGAACGGGAGGTTAGAAATCGGTCTATAGTTGGCTAAAACCCCTGGGTCAAGAGTAGACTTTTTAAGAAGGGGTTTAATTACAGCTACTTTAAAGGACTGTGGTACATATCCTGATAATAAAGAAAGATTAATCATATCCAGTAAAGAAGTGCCAATTAAGGGAACAACTTCTTTAAGCAGCCTAGTTGGGATCGGGTCTAACAGACAGGTTGATGGCTTCGATGAAGAAATGATTGAAGTTAACTGATGAAGATCGATAGCAGAAAAACAGTCTAAATATACATCTAAGTTTACATTGACAGAAGTCCCTGAACTTGGAGAGCCACTGATAACCGTTGATGGCAGTTGGTGATTAATTTTTTCTCTAATAGTAATAATTTTATTATAGAAGAAGCTCATGAAGTCATTGCTACTTAAGTTTATGGGGATATGTGGCTCGATAGAGCTGTGACTCTCTGTCAGCCTGGCTACAGTGCTTAAGAGGAACCTAGGGTTGTTCTTATTTTCTTCTATTAGTGCTGAGTAATAGGCTCCTCTGGCATTACGGAGGGCCTTTCTATAAATCTTAAGATCATCTTGCCAATTTGAGCGATATTCTGATAATTTGGAAGAGCGCCATTTCCTTTCAGATTTCCTAGCTATTTGCTTTAACTGGCGGGTTTGGTGGTTATACCAAGGTGCTAGTCTCCTATGTTTTAATAATTTCCTTTTTATAGGAGCGATAGAGTCTAATGTTGATCGTAGTGAGCCTGTAGCACTATCGACAAGATTATCAATTTCAGAGGGACTAAAGTCGTTATAGGACTCTGTTAAATTCAGACATGGCATTGAATTAAACACTGAAGGAATCTCCTCCTTAAATTTAGCTACAGCACTGTCAGATAGACATCTGCTGTAGGAAGTTTTGCCTAATGGCTTATAATCTAATAGTATGAATTCAAAAGTTATTAAATAATGGTCAGATAGGAAAGGATTATGTGGGAAGACTATTAAATGTTTAATATCAATGCCATATGATAGAACAAGGTCAAGAGTGTGATTAAAACAATGAGTTGGTTTATTTACACTCTGACAGAAGCCAATTGAGTCTATTAATGATATAAATGCGTTACTAAGGCTGTCATTGTTAACATCCACATGAATATTAAAATCACCTACAATAATTACTTTATCTGATTTAAGGACTAAACTTGATAAATATATATTCAGATATAAAATCAGAGTACGGTCCAGGAGCGCGGTACACTATAACAAATAGAACTGGCTGCAGTGTTTTCCAGGATGGGTGAGAAAGACTAAGAACAAGGCTTTCAAATGAATTATAATTTAGTTTAGGTTTAGGGTCCATTAAAACGCTCGAATCATATATGGCTGCTACTCCACCTCCTCGGCCAGAGCCTCGAGGAATGTGAGTATTAATATGACTGGGGGGGGTGGATTCATTTAGGCTAACATACTCCTCGTGGGACAACCACGTCTCAGTAAGACAAAGTAAATCAATATCATAATCTGATATTAATTCATTCACTAAAACAGCTTTAGAGGACAGAGACCTGATATTTAACAGCCCACATTTCATTCTCTTATTTTGTGCTACTGAGGAGTTGGTTTTAATTTTTATTAGATTTTTATGTTTAACTAGTTGATGGCTTCGATGAAGAAATTGTGCTATATTAAGTAGCGATGATGTGAAGATGTGTTGAAGAGAAGTCCGCTGACACCATCTTGATTGTATATAGAGGTTTATTACAAAAAGGTACCGCATCATTTCAAGCCCCGGGAGCTTGGAGAGCATCCTGCCAAATGAACAGCTCTGTCTATATGCGTCGAACATAGGCTTTATATAGGTCTATTGTTTATTCAAGAAAATAGTAAAGAAACATCTGGTTCTAGTACAGATAAGTGAGGTAAAACAGGGAGATGGGGGATTTTTTAAGATAAAGGTCAGAGGCCATTGAGAGGCCCCTAGCCTAAACATTTCATAGTAAGAATTACAACGTTGAACCTCATGTCTTACTAACACTGCATATGTTGACAAAAATATCACTTGAACTTATAACAAACTGTAACTTAAATTTATAGGCCTTCAGACACCACATATTTCCAAGAGTAAAACATACATGTTTAAACACTTGACAAAAATAACAATTCCTCCTACACATGCTTCTTGCAGCATAACCTTAACAATACAGCAACTTTATGGAGTGCGAGAGTGAAAAACCTATCCGGCAGCTTTCTTTCCAAAGTATCCATCAAACAATCTAGACAGGAAAATTCTCTCACTGCCCCTCTGCCTCAGGCGAGCACACATAGTACTCCAGATCAATTAAAAAGAGGAATCTTAACAATTTATTTAGAGATATGGTTTAAACAAATACATGTGAAAACCTCAGGAAATAAAATCAAAACAATGTCCAAAGTCAGGCTGGCCGACCCATCGTACCTTCCAATGGACCTGTCCCTGCCTAGACCCCAATATCCCTAAGCATCAACAAAAAAAAAGAAAAACATCTGAGGTCCCCATATATTTAACTGATAGCAGAAAACATCAATCTCCAAACAGTTAATGCAAAAATAATATGATTATTACGTATTACTCATGCAAATATGTGTATATATAAGAGAAGACATAAGAATGTATCACACTGCAGCTCCTCAGCAGTGTCGACTCTCAGTGTAGTGTCGATGATGTGTCGAATCTGAACATTTTATCACCATATCCTTGTTCAGAATTCTCCAGTCCATTCTTATTGTCCATATTTGAGTATCTGAATCCCTTCCGCACATTCCCCCAATATGCTCTGGAAGAAAAGAAAACACCAACCAGTATCTTTTGCAAAAACAACACATGAAAATTAAAACATCAAATACAAATTAATATAAAATTATAAATCACATTCCATTTCCCCCCTTTGGTTAATAAGAAACCACTAAATACCAAAACAATATCAAAATAAATGTGAAGATTATAACACAATTAAATATTCCCACAAACATCCCAATTACACCATAAGTTAAGAACAAAAGCAAGCTTCTGTTCGTACAGTTTTCACTTCCACTGAACCAGGAACTGCCACAATCTTATCTCTTTGATCAGTTAAGTCTATATTTGGCAGATCCATCATCCAGGCACACTCTCTCTTAGGTTTATACAAGTGCACTGGCACAGCCATCCAAGTGTCCAGCGCTGATTCTTGCTGATACTTCAACCATGATAAAGCAGTATATTGACATTTGACAAATAAATGTTCAGGTATTGTCTCTAAAATTGACGGCCATGTGCTAGGTGATGGAATCCTAACCATACCTGGGCACCTCCCATGAGTAGCTGATCTCACAGAATGCGTTAACTGTTGGAACCATATATTTCTGCTTGCCCATCGGTCTGTAATCTGTAGCACTGAAGCATCAAATCCATATGCCTTCCATCTAGCATCTCTCTTTT